TCTGGGGGTATTTTTTTTTTTTTTTTTTTTTTTTTTTTTTTTGTTTGTTTGTTTGGTTTTTTTGGTGTTTTGTTGTTGTTATTCTTGTTGTTGGTGGTGGTTTTTTGTTTGTTTTTTTTGTTTGTTTGTTTGGTTTTTTTGGTGTTTTGTTGTTGTTATTCTTGTTGTTGGTGGTGGTTTTTTGTTTGTTTTTTTTGTTTGTTTGTTTGGTTTGGGTTTGGTTTGTTTGTTTGTTTTGCATCCAGCATGGAATCATGCACTTCTGTGGTGTCAAAGTCCTTGAACCTCACATCTGTTATGCTCCAGAGAATGTCTCTGAGGAGAAGAGGAAGGAGATGCTGGCTGCCTGGACCCAGCGTCTGAAGTCTCTTTGGAAGGAAGAACCCATAGACTGCTCTCCTGAGTGGTATTTCAAGTAGTGTTAAGGTGCAAGACTACAGAGTGAAGATTTTCTTTTTCTCCATTTTTTTGATGCTCTATCTAAATACCTGAACACTAATTTCCTGATTCAAATATATTTTAAGAATCTTGAATACTACATCTATCAGTTTAACTGACAACATAGCATTTATCTTCAGTGATTCCCAAGGGATTCCCTTCAAGGATGGGCGCAAAACTCTTTGTGTTGTTCTCCTTGCTCACAGAAACGGTTGTGGTTGATAACACATGTGATATTTCATGGTAGATTATACATTGCTACTTGTGAAACAGTAAAGTACATGGCCACTTTTTAACACTTTTTTCCCTTTACCAGAGAATATCTTTCCCATACCCAACTTGGCATTTAAAAGCCACTTGTCATTGGTTGTGAGAGGTCCACACTTGCACCTTGGAGCAACAAAACCAGATCATGAGTAGTGTTGCAAAAAGGATGTACCATTGCAAAGTGTCTTAAACAGCTGGAAAGCCTTGTGGGCAGGCCTCAGCTTTTAGACATATTTACAAAGCAATGTTAAAGCCATAACAGATACCAGAAAAGGGGAAAAAAAGGAAGCAGATTTTGTATATTGGTATGTGCATGAATTGCCTTCCTTTGTCAACTACAACTTCCATTTGTAAAGTATTCAGCTTCCTAAAATCAAAAGGGACTTCTCTATTTTGATTACCCTTTGTAGAGATAAAATGGAATCCTGTTTTTTTTCTGCCCTCTCACACTAGTCACATGTTCCAGTTTGCTCTCGTTTTTTTTTTAAGAAAAATCCTACTGTGTTATTGGATATCTTAAAACCTAAAGAGGCTATATTCTACAGAAGAGGTGCAAAGAATTTAAGCTGATGCTACACTCAAGTCAGTGCTGGATAATTGTCTCATCATTCTAAGAGCATTAAAATGCTCAGTTTCATGCAGCTTGAGTACACAGGAATTCTGATATGTTTGAAAAACTCAGGAAGGAGACAAAAGACCAACTTCTTCCCTAGGACCGTGGAGCCAAAATACTCAATAGCCTTCTCTGTATTGCCCTTGATGAAATGAGAAAGCATTTTGTTGACATCCAACAGAGAGAATAAACCAAGACCTAACCATCTTATCCATATAACAGATTGCCAAAACTGCAAATACAGTTGTACTCCAGTGTGACATACAGAGCAAAGGTGGTTCTTCACTGGAATTCAATAAGAATCCAAGACAAAATTAAATCCTCTCCATGTACTCTACACAGACACCCTCGTATTTCTGCCATCTGTTGCTAGGCCACAGTTCAGCATCTACGGGAAATATCAGGTAGTGCTCTTTTGAACTTAACTGCAGAGAAAAGTGGCTGCAGTCAGTCACCAACTACAGTGGTTCCAAAGGCCCTTGGAACCTCCCATTCTGCATTCATACTCCCCAGGGGGATGCAACCCTTCTCCACAAGCATCAGCTCTGTTAGGTGCTGCAGCTTTTCCCACCTCAGCCCTCTGAGGGTTTAGAGAAATACAGTATGAGTTTTGGTGCACAGATAATGCAAAATTAGCTAAGATCACAGCGTCTTTCTCTAAAATCAGCTCTACAGCATAATATTCATGGCTGTTGGACAGCAGCGGGATCAATCACACCAGATAATGCTTTACTTTTAGATTAAAAGGTACATTAAAGAAAGATTATAGACAAGTATTTCCTTGGAGTTTTGCCCACCAATCATTCCCCTCCTCAGAGTTCTGGACAGGGTATAGAGCCCAGAATTAATATTCCAGCACTGAGTCATCTCCAGAGCTGGAAGCCTCCTGTGTGAGAGAACGCTCATCCTTGCTGGGCCAGGCAGAGGGTTAAGACAGGGACAACCAGAGAATGATTATGCTTAGGTCCCTGCAGAACTTGAAATTTGTCAGAGAAATTGAGAGGAAAAAGTCTCTAAAGAGATAGCTGGCAGCAAACTACAGGAGGAGAAGAAGGAGATGTAATAATTAAACATTTGTTGGCAAAGTTTACTACTACTGTACAGCCCTTAAAGTTAATACCAGGAAAACAGATACAAAGTCACCTTCCCATTATGGCACAAGCTTACTGTGATTGATTTTTAGTTAAGATTGAGGAATGAGGTAAGCATTCCAGGTAGCCTTGGTCTAGCACTGGAGATTTGATGTGTTTTACTCATCAGTCCCTACAATTTTTTCCAATGTTGTGATGAAACCTGCAAATTTCACACACAGCAGTTTTCACCCTGTTGGCAAAAAAAGCCAGCTATATATCAAGGGTGTGACCTCTAAGCACATGCAAATAGATGCCAATATCTCCCTGTCTTTGCCTGGCACATGCTGGGAAAACAACACTGAATGAGACATATACCTTTCGAACCAAGCAATTTTTATAAATTCAGCCATCTCTCTTCCTTATGGAGGCTTATGGAGCCTTCAGCCCCATAAATAATGCAAAGCTCAAAATTAAAAAAACCAAACCAAAAGAAAGCAGTCAAATGCTATCAAAAGGTTCCTGTAATGTTTTGCGTTGCAGGAGAAGATCAAAACTGCACA